GCCACGGGCGCCCCACTGCGCGCACTCTTGTCCTTGTACTCCAGCAGATTCTGGTTGCTGAAGAACTTCTGGCTGCCCAACGGGCCGTTGCTGTGGCCGGGTGCCTGGTGGGCGGTGGGCGTGGTGGCGTAACCATTGAGTGGCTCCGCGCCGCCGGGCAGCTGTTTGACCCTATAGCGCTTCTTGCCCACATCCAGCTGGGTGGGCACCGGCTCAGTGCGCTGCACAGGCGCCGCAGCTGGGCCTGGGGCGGCTTCGGCGGCGCCCACATGTCCATTGCTCAGCTTCAGCGGCTCCTTCTCCTTGTGGCCGTGTGGGGCGGCATCTGGTGCGTCGGGCTCATTGCCGGGCTGCTGCTGGGTGGGTTGGTGCTGCTCCCGCAGCACCCAGGTCAGYGAGATGCGAGGACGTCGCAGGCTCAGGTTCTGACCCATCTCTAATGCTTCGAGACCTACAGCATGCTGCAGCTGGGGTGTGCTCTTGGCCCGAGGGCCAGCGCCTAGCAGCAGCTCATCGATCTCCACATAGTCCGAGCTGTATTCGATGCTGTCACGTACCGCCCGATTCTCTGCCGGCGGCGGAGGCGGAGGCGGTGGGGGTGGGGGCGTGGCTGTGAAATTACCAACCGAACTGTCGCTGCTGCCGGGCTGCTGTTGCTGGTGAAGGATTAAGGCGCACGCGTGCAACAAGTCCGGACAATAGGCATCTAAAACAAAAGAGAGCGGGAGAGAGAGAGAGAGAGAGAGAGAGAGAGAGAGAGAGAGGGGATAAGTACTCGACTAGAAAATACCCTGACTGTACAATTTGAACTATATCCATGAGAAAGAATGGAAAGCCTAAGGATTCTAGAGAGCTCTAATGAGTTAGTTCAATAGAACTAGTTGCTGATGAACGGCAGTWTGAGCTAATGAACTTCATTCCTAGCTAACTTATATAGGCTGCTCAGTCAATCATCTTTGAGCAGAGCATCGCTCATAAAGCAATGAACTAGTTCTCCAGAGAAGCTCACTAGTTC